CCATGGGCTGAGACTCGTCCACGCCGAGCAGGTGCAGTGACCAGAGGTCCCGGGGGGAGCCAGCCCCGACAGGCCCCGGGGACCCTCAACCCCTACATGGCCCGTGCCCTGCTGTCCTTCCGTCATCGCCTCCCCCCCCACCCCAAAGGCCCTGCACACCCCGCCTCCAAACCGCAACCTCTGTGGAACCAGCCATGCCTGACATCCCGGGCATGTCCCCATCCTGCACTCCTGTGCCCCTGGCCCAGCAGGCCCTGTGTCCACCTGCTCCTCTGTCCCAGTATTTTGAGCCCACTGCCTGCACAGTGCCTGGGAACTACTGCATCTCTTCCTTTGACTTCTAGCCCAGTGCGGGTGGGGGCGTGAGGGAGCGGGTCCTTCCCTCCATTGGTCCTGGTGACCATAAACCCATCCTCTCTCAGGCCAGTAGTGAAAGTGACCCTTCTTTACCCCACCAGAACATGCTTGGGTGACTCCCTCCCAGATCCTCCTGGTGGCCTTCCTCGCCCTCCCCAGTGACACTATGCAACCCCAGCGTGACCTGCGAGGCCTCTGGCTTCCACTGCTGTCCTGGTTCCTGGTGGTCTTTGAGGTGGCCAGAGCCGGCCGGCCGGTGTTTACCTGTCCTGCCGCCTGCCTGTGCGCCAGCAACATCCTCAGCTGTTCCAAGCAGCAGCTGCCCAACGTGCCCCACGCCTTGCCCAGCTACACCACCCAGTTAGACCTCAGCCACAACAACCTGAGCCGCCTGCGGGCGGAGTGGACCCCCACGCACCTTCCTTACCTGCACTACCTGCTGCTGAGCCACAACCACCTGAACTTCATCTCCTCGGAGGCCTTCTCCCCAGTACCCAACCTGCGCTACCTGGACCTCTCCTCCAACCAGCTGCGGACACTGGATGAGTCCCTGTTCAGTGACCTGCGGGCCTTGGAGGTGCTGCTGCTTTACAATAACCATATCATGGCGGTAGACCGCTCGGCCTTCGAGGACATGGCCCAGCTGCAGAAACTCTACCTGAGCCAGAACCAGATCTCCCGCTTCCCTCTGGAACTGGTCAGGCTCCCCAAGCTCACACTCCTGGACCTCTCCTCCAACAGGCTGAAGACCTTACCGTTGTCCGACCTGCAGAAGCTGCCTGCGTGGGTCAAGAACGGGCTGTACCTGCACAACAACCCCCTGCACTGCAACTGTGAGCTCTACCAGCTCTTCGCGCACTGGCAGCACCGACAGCTGAGCCCCGTGGTGGACTTCCAGGAGGACCTGCACTGCCTGAGCGCCAAGAAGCTGCACAGTGTTTTCAACCTCAACTGCAGCGAGTACAAGGAGCGTGCCTGGGAGGCCCACCTGGGTGACACCTTGACCATCCATTGTGACACCAAGCAGCAGGGGATGACTAAGGTGTGGGTGACCCCCAGCAATGAACGGGTGCTAGACATGGAGGCCAACAGCACAGTGACGGTGTTTGAGAATGGCAGTCTTCACTTCCAGCGGGTGCAGGTTGAGGACGGGGGGGTGTACACCTGCTTCGCCATGGGGGAGACTTTCAATGAGACACTGTCTGTGGAGTTGAAGGTGCACAATTTCACCTTGCACGGACACCACGACACCCTCAACACAGCCTATACTACCCTGGTGGGCTGTATCCTCAGTGTGGTCCTGGTCCTCATATACCTGTACCTCACCCCCTGTCGCTGCTGGTGCCGGGGTGTCGAGAAGCCTTCCAGCCACCAAGGAGACAGCCTCAGCTCTTCTATGCTTAGTACCACACCCAACCACGATCCTATGGCCGGTGGGGACAAGGATGATGGTTTTGACCGGCGGGTGGCCTTCCTGGAACCTGTTGGACCTGGGCAGGGTCAAAATGGCAAGCTCAAGCCAGGCAACACCCTGCCGGTGCCCGAGGCGACAGGCAAGGGCCAGCGGAGGATGTCGGACCCGGAATCCGTCAGCTCGGTCTTCTCTGATACGCCCATTGTGGTGTGAGCAGGATGGGTTGGTGGGGAGATTCTGCCCCAGGAGAGGTAATGCACCCCTGAAGGATTTGAGGGGATGGAAGAGAGGGCTGGCTGCCCAAGGGAGTGGGTTCCCCCTGACCTTGAGAATCGGTCACGGGTACAGCAGAAGGCAAGAGCCCAGCCGGGGTGTGGCTGCCATGATTTTCAAATATGGATATATCAGTCCTCAGGCAAATGCTACACCCTCCCCAGAGCCCTGGCGTTTGTCGCGTGGCGGAGGAGGAGGAGCATGTCCGGGTTGGTGGGAATGAGGAAGGGGTGGGGGGAGGAGCACAGTCCCTAAACTTCGAGGTCATCCCTAGCTCCTTAAGAGAAACCCATTTGGGGGGAAAATCACTTATTACCTATCTCTGCCCACCCATACCTGTGATGTTGGGTGTGTTGGGGAGCGTCCACGGGAGCTGGGGAAAGCTGTAGTATCTTCTCTGGCCAGGAAGTCACATTTCACAGCAGAGGCGCTTGCAGACCTTGGGAGAGATGAGTCAGGAAAGGGCTGAGACCTCAATCAGTAGCGCTCCCCAGGCTGCTGGGAGACTTTCCCTAATGCCTTCGTTTCCCCGAGGAGCCTGGCCTGCCGCCTGTAGAGATGGCAGCCAGGTGAGATGTGGTATCTGTGCCCTGTCCTGGGACCAGTGGCACAGAGGGGTCCGCGCCACAGCATAGGTGCAGCACAGAGCTTGTAGGTGGGGCGCGGACTCCAGGTTGGCTAATTTCCTGGCTGGTGAAACTGGATTAGCATTTAGTTCCAGCACCTGTGTGTCAGGCCAGGGCGGGGGCTGCTGAAAGCAGAGCTTTTATGGACGGATGCCCGCCACAGGTGTGGGGTGGGGGGCACTTCACACAAGGACCAGCCTCTCTTACGTAGCATCCAGCTGGTCCTGCCTGTCATGTATGCCATCTCTTCATTCAGTCTCCTTATCAGGCTCAGGTGGGATTCTGAGCTTTCCCTAAATGCTGCTCCGCGGAGGGTAGAGTCCTGGGAGGTCTGGCCCCAGCCGGGTTAGACTGGGCTTAGGGACGCAGGTATGTATCTCCTGTGTTGACCAAGCTGCCTTGCTCCTCTCGGAACCCCTGCTGCAAAGCCAGAGCAGGGGATTCCGTCAACGTGGTCTTTGCCCCAGAATGGTGGTTTGGAATGTGGCTTAGAGTTCTGTGTCTCCACGAGGTTCCAGGCAGCCTTGTAAGAGACAGTTGGTGGCACTGAACTCTGCCACCCCCAGCTCTTTTAGCCGGAAGTCTGTGCAGGCCAGAGGCACTTAAGAACAGGCCACATTCCATTCCATCCAAGGCTACAGAATACTTTGGGGATGGAGATGGCCACTCCCTCAGACTTCTCCCTGTAACTACTGTAAGCTCTGGGAGATGGCTGCTCTGAGCTTTGTCAAGGGCACCAGCAGGGCAGAGGTGAAAATGTTCTCTGACGTTGGTCTTTTTCAGTCTGTCCCCTCCCTCTCACCAAGTTCCCTGTCCAGTGGAAGTTCTCCAGATCTTCTGACCTGCTCCTTAGGTTCTGAGAGTTGTTTACCTGCGGGTGAGGGCTGCTTGCTGGGAGGGCCTGACTCCCACTGCCTGTTAAGATTGGGAAAGGGAACTGGGAGGCCAAGGCTGCTGTCCACCCTTTCTTAGTGCCCAGTTTGCTGAGAGGTGCAGCATTTCCCTCAAGCACTTGCATGCTCATAGGTACGCACGCTTCTAGGTACGCATGCACACAGCGCCTTGGCTCCCATCAGGACAGGGATTCTTCAGTCCCCACTAAGGTCCATTTCTGAATGGTCTCCACCTACGTGCACAACTTCACGTGATTTTCTTGCCCTGTAGGAGACAATGATCACGCCAGGCTCCCCAGATAAACTCTTATATTTTAATTAATGCTGAACTCTGAAGCTTCAGCCACATCTCTGTGGCACCAAGTAACTTCTCTGCAAGGCCTGGGGTTAGGAGAGCCATAGGCTGAGGACGTGGGGAGAACGGGTGGTGAGGAGCTAGCTGGTTCTTCAGACGCTCAGGAACCTTCCTTGGATTAAAGATGATAGATGAGACATAAGTGGACAACGAGGTCAAGGACCAACCCAGAGGAAACTGGCAGGGGACCAAGCAGCTGTATTGCTCTCCCTCCGTTAGCTGCCCTGGTAAGACAGGGGCAGGAGGGTAAAGTTGGTTAAGTTCCAGAGTCCCGTGGGGATTTTGTTCCTGAAGCTGGAGGACCCTGGACTCCCTGCTCACTTCCCAGGGAGCCTGGGAAAATCTCACCTTCAAGCTGGAGCGTCCCCTCCAGGAGCCATCTAGGACACTGAACATCTTGAATGTCAAATGACGCAGGCCTTCTGGGCTGCTTTCTAGCTGAGTTCCTGAGGACAAGGAGGGCCATTTTCTTCAGAAGGTCAGCCCACCTTGGGTAATAAGAAAAGGCCCTGAGGCTGTAAGTCTCCCTGCTCTGTCCACTAGTTTGGCCCTAGTTTGAGAGACTGGTAGGTGTGCCTGGCTGCCCCCAAAAGACTGCATGGGTCAGCCTCTTCCATGGTTTCAGCTGACAGAACCCAAAGGTCGCTTTCTCCTGGGGGACCAAGTACTCAGCATATGTAACCTCCCTAGAGCCCTGTGTAGGAAACCGCCAGGCTTGGTTCTAAGAACAGGCTGAGAGATCACCCCCTCCACTCCACCTCCCCACACCCATAAACCAGACATGTCTCCCAGGAAGCAGATGTCCCTGGAGACAGTTTGACACGGTTCGACAGTCTGTCTGTGACCATTTTTCTTTGCCTATTTTTATGGGGCTCCTAGGGAGGGGCCAGGAGAAGGTACACCCCAACTGGGGAGGCAGAGACAACTGATTCGTTTTTCTGTGTGGTCTTTCCTCTGTACTTCCTCGTAGTCCTGCTGGCCAGGTAGGCTGGCTTCCCTGTGTCCAGGACCCTGTTTCCCCCCGTGTGTACCCAGGCTTGGAGCCTCTGGGCTCTAAAAACTAGACAATGATCATTAAACCTGGCTTGAGTCTCTGTTCTGGCGGAGTCTGTGACTGGTTCATTTCTCTTTTCAGCCTGTGGGTGGGGCTCACTGTACCTCAGAAGGGTGTGGCCTGTGTAGGGAGAGAATATTTCAGTGCTGCCATATGGGCTCGGGTGGAATCCACATCCAGGCATTAACACAGACCCGGGGTCAGCACACTTCTGTAAAGAGCCAGATAGTGTGCTGAGCCTCGCAGGCCATGGTCTCTGTGACTACTCAGCTGTGCCCAATGTCACAGGAATTCCAGACAGTACATAAATGGATGAGTGTGGCTCCATTCAGGCTCTTTATGGACATTGAAATGTGGAGTTCATATCATTTTAACATGCTTTGAGTTTCTTCAACCATTTAAAGAGTAAAAAATCTTATTAACTCACAGACCCTACCAAATCAGGCAGCTGGTGGGTTTGGGCCAGCAGACCATAGTTTAGATTCTCTAAAGAAATGTCACAGGCATCTTAGCAGGAGAGCCTGAAGATAATGAAGGTGTCCTGGATCCCCAGGGAGGAGGCTGGCCTCCCTGCAGAGCTCTGTGAAAAGTCTAGAACAGCCTATGAAAGGTACTATGGGAAAATGCTCAGACTGGGTTAAAAGAAATGGTGGGAGCAGCTCACTTTAACAATATTTTATTGCCAGTATACTTTCACGTTGTAAATGATGACCGTCTTAGTTTGGCTAAAATCTGTTCGTCTAGTGGGCAGGTTAATAATTCTTGACAGTTCCCGTGTGCTCGGCGTTGCGCAGAATAGAGAGACGCCTTCCCCGCGTTCTTGGTAGGCTGAAATTGATTCTACTGAACTCTGAACATGCGATTCTTTGGCCACTCTCGGTTCTTCTGGAAGGGGACTGTCATGGTAGATTCCATAATGGAAGAGGAAATGGTGTAAGGAAAAAAGAAATGAAAAGAATCCCAATTGGAGAAATTACCTGATTTCTTCCATTGATAAAATCTTGACCAAAGGGCAGCCCTCCTCTGTCTGGAACCTTCGCTGTCGTCTTGTCTTAGGGAGGAGCTACCACAGTGGTGAAGCATGGAGACACCTCACAGCCACAGCAACCTTGGCAGTCAGTGAAATGACAGATGTTGATGCTAGAGCACCACCTGCCCCCCTCCCATCTACATGTATAATCATTTTTCATCTTTTCAGAGCAGTTTTTGCAATGGCCGAGTTTGGCCAACAGGATGAAGCTGGTAGAGAACAGGCCTGGGGCAGACTCCTGCGAGTGCCCCCCTCTTTTGGCCCATGTCCAGCCCTGCTCTGAGCCTGAGAAGCTCTGATACTCCTTTCCCCATCACCCCAGGGAAGCCCATGGCTGCATCCCCTCCCGCTCCCCAACCACTAGCTTCTGGCCGAGATGTGCCATTTGCCTGCCCTGCCTGCAGCGCTCTGCCTAGCTCTCTCAGGTGGCCCTTCGGGAGTGGACGAGGCTAATGTGACAGCCTTGCCTCTCTTCATCCTGGTCTTCCAACTCCTTCCTTTTCTGCAGTTGTAGCTCTTGGATGGCTTTTCTTGTCTCCCAGGAAACCAGTGATGAAGCTTTACTTGCCCTGCCCACACTGCAAAAAAGGCTTGGGGCTGTGCAGTGGCACAGTGGGCTTTTCTGGTCTGGCCACAGTGAGCTTGCTGGATGCTTCCTCTCCCGGGGATTGAGAGAAGGCAAAGCAGCTGCCACATCCAGCCCCTTCATCAGGTGGAAAATATCAGGTGATAAAGATACTTAGACCTGCCCTGAGGCCTTCCAATCTCTATCACCCAAGTTACTGTCCCAGAACCAGAGGGCGTGGACCCATGCCAGAGAGGACTGTCAGTGAGCCAGGACGTGGAGCCCTGCAGGGGGACATCCAGGTGCCCTCCAGCGCTGGCACACAGAAAGTCAGAGTCGGTGACCCCAGAGTTAGGACGGCATGTCTGCACATGCACAAGTAGGTGCTCACACATGCACGCAGGATGGGGAGCATTGTATCTGGATGGAACTTTGTATCTGGGTGGTGCTTTTCTCCCACCTCCCTGTCCCTCACTTGGCCGGAGTTGGCTTCTGGTGTGGGTCTAAGCAGAAGGGCCTAGCCGAGTCCTGAGCATCCACAGAAAGCACTGTGGGGGAATCTGTTTTAGAGAGAAGGGAGTTGGGGTCCCCTTATGGATACTTAGTGAGAGAGCTGAGTCCTCTGGTTCCAAAGAATAGCCTGAAGTAGTTGCTTAACCAGCTTTCAACAGAGGTTTAAAAAAATCATCTGGGAAATTCTGACAACAGCAGATAGTTTAAAAACTGGGACTTCTGCCCTGGCTGGGTGGCTCAGTTGGTTGGAGCATCGTCCTGTGCACCAAAAGGATGCAGGTTCAATTCCCGGTCAGGGCACATACCTAGGTTCTGGGTTTGATTCCAGTCCGGGTGCCTATGGAGGCAACCCATCAGTGTTTCCCTCTCAAATCGATGCTTCTCTCTCTCTCTCCTCCCCCCTCCCCCCCCTTCCTTTCTCTAAAATCAATGAAAGTATATCCCCAGGTGAGGATTAAAAAACAAACAAACTGGGACTCTTACTCCCTGCACAGTGGTGACTAGCCGAGCCTTCTGGGTGGCTGGGCAGGGGAAGGTCCTCTTACTGGAGGTAATGTGTGTGCTTAAGCTTAGCCAGGAGCTGGAGACAGTCCAGTTCAAGCCACTCCCAGGGCGGCCCAGGGGCACTGCCCCCAGCATGTCAGTTCTGTCTTCCCTGTGCCTGTGCTGGGGAGAGTTGCTGAGACTATGCCCACAGTGCCCGACTGGTGTTCCATTCCTGGATCCTGGGGCAGAAAAAACAATTCAGATAAAAGCGCGAACCCTGAAGCCTCTGCTCTTCATTCCTGCTTCTCTGTGTCTACTCTGGGCAGGCTGCTGGCTATTCTCAGATGAATGGAATGGAAAGTATCCTTCCCATAATTTAAAATTTAAACAGAACTGCTTTCTTGGGATTAGTGTGTGTGTGTGTTTTAATTCCAATAAAGTGCTTCGAGGAGGAGGGGACTCTGACCCTACTCCAAGACTCTGAAACAAGGACAGAAAAGCCTATGGACAGCCGGGGCAACATCTCAGATCTGTGTCCAGCACCCGGCATGGAGGCAGGGGCGGTGATGCTCAGCCTGTGGCACAGGGGAGGGCTGCAGTGCTCTGCTACTGCTCCTCCCTCCTACCCTGGCTTGTCTGCTCTGGTTCCCCTCAGAAGAGCTGAAGTGGGCGGGAGACCAACTAGCTCCAGGAACTCAGGCTGGACCAGGGGATAACTGACCCCCCGATTTCCCATCAGCGCCTAGACTTGAAACCACCAGGCAGGCAGCAAGCTTCGGAGAGTCACAGACTTGGTGGCATTCCTGGCAGGAGTGTGAGAGCTGACCTTGCATCCAGGAGGAGGAGATGTGTCTGTGTTCCTTAGATGGCCAGCGTTACAACCCTTCTGAGACCTGGGTCCCCTAAGTGTCATTACCCATAACTGTTTACTGCCTCCCTCAACGAAGCAGAGCCTGAGCCATGCAGAGAGAGAGAGAGGACCAGAACCAGAAATGCCACCTGTTCACATGTGTTTAATGCTTTGAACTTTCCAGTGTCGGTTAACACGCATTCCTCTCACCCTCACAACATCCCTGGGAGGTAGGTCGCAAAGTAAGGGATTAGCTCATGGCCACACCTGTGCTAGGAGTAAACAGCCGGCAGGTGTGCTCACGACACGCGCACTCTGCCAACCAGAACGGCCATGGGAGCGTCCTGCTCCCTGAGCCTGCAGGGGGCCACCAGAAAGGCTGTCAGTGGTCAGGACCAGGGTGTCCCCTGGAGGCCAGGTAGACGGAAGGAAGGGCAGGAGTACTAGCAGGTCAGTGTCGGCAGCTGCCAATGCCACTAACTACCAGCGTCATCGGGGCACGCACCATTTTCTACATCTTGACCCTCGTCGTCGGGTAAAAAGCCTTATCGGTTTACTCAGAGGCCTCTCGGGCCCACTGCCAGAGGAAGCAGCCTCCAGCCACGGCTGGGAGGTGAGAGTCCTGGCCTCTGCTCCCTCCCACAGCGCCTCCCATTCGGACACCGGGCAGCCCGGGAAGAGGGGGGAAGAGGGGAAGGTGAGGGCTGGCTGACTCAGCCTGTCAGAGCTAGGAGGTCTGGAGCTGAAAGGCCCGGCACCGTTCAGCTAATGATTATTATTAACACTGAACAGACCTTGGCAGGGCAGCCAGCTGGCTCCGGGAAGACGCCTGGATCTCCCACAGCGAGGTTGAAAAACAAGACCCACAGCAGCCAGGCATGGGGGCGGGAGGGTGGGGACAAGAAAGAAGGGACAGGCCAGTGTCAGGAAGTGGGGTGGGGTAGTCTGCCCTGTGAGAGGGTGGGGAGAGGAGGCCCAAGCTGGCAAGAGATACCAGCCTACCTTTGATGCAGCTGAAGAGCAGAGAAGGTGAGGCTGGTGGACTTCCCCAGACGTAGAGCTCCTGCCATTCAACAGCCCCACACCCTGGCCATTGTGGGACTCAAGGGAAGGGGAGCTTCCAGAAAAGATGGGGGCTGGGGGCATCTGAACCCAGAATGGTAACCCTATTACCATCTGGGTCTGGATACAAAAACCTCTATTTCTAATGTCCTCAAGGTTGAGTTTGAATATAATATTTGGAATCAGGACTTAGGGAGCCTGATATGCAAATTTGTGCAAATGAGTTTTTTGTTTTTTTTTAATTTGAGCACCCTGGCTTTTTTTAAAAAAGGCTAAACAGTCTGACTAGCAGCTTTCCTTAGTCGGGACAAGGGCAAAAGAGCAGCCACGTGTTTCTCCCCGAAAGCCTCTGCCTCTTCACTAAGGCGCCCAGCTAATACTCCAGATGGGGAGACACTGGAGTGGGGGCAGAGAGCATGGGGGGAGGAGGCACATGCAGCCAGCAGCCACCGAGATCCCAGCTGGAGGATGGGTACCCTGGCATCAAGGGCTAATGGTTGTCTAGCTGCTGCCCCAGGGTGTGCGGGCAGGTGGTGAAGGAGGGAGAGAAGCAGAGGGAAAGGGAGGCAAGTCCCCCCATAATCCAGCCAGCAGGGAACGGCTCCTCCTGGTGACCCACTCCCTATACTGCAGCCAGGCCAGCTAAACAGACCACCTGTGCCCTCCTCTGCCCTCTGCCCTCCTGGCCTCCTGGTCAGAAAGGTGACAGCTGTGGCCCCTTCTTCCTGCAGAATATAAATGACTTCCCCCTTCCTCCCAGGGCTGGGAATAGACATCAGCTGGCACAGCCCACGCAAACTGCCGGCTGTCAGCCCGCCTGCCCACCCGCCCACCAGCCCCCGAACCACCTGGGAGGAGGCAACACCTCAGGCAGGCGCCAGCTTTCTGGCGTTGCCTACTGAGCTCTCAGAGCAAGCTGGGGAACCTTACCCGGCCGTGTCTCCCCGCTGCGGACAGGGCGAGACTCCCAGCACTGGCTGGGACGGGAGGAGAGGAGATGGGATGCCTGATCCAAGCGACCCCAGATGAGACTCCACACTGCAGGGCCCCCTTCAGATGCTCAGGGTCTAGAGAGCTCCTGGGAGATGCCACTGACCCGGGAGGAGCCCGATCACATTTAGCCAGCCTGGCATCCAGCCCTCGTTGCTGGGGGCAGTCTGGGGAACAAGTAGGGGTCTCTCCAAAGAGGGCCTGGCCCTCATTTGCCAGCTGGCACCAAACTCAGCCTCCTGCTGGGCCAAAGAGCTGGCAAGAAACAACAGTGAGGAAAACTTAGGTGATGAGGAAGAGGGATCTTCCCTAGATCAGAAAAGCCCTGCCCCACTTCCAGGGCTCTTATTTTGTTCTAAAACCTTCCAGATAGCTCCACAAAACTATGTGCTAAGGCAAAAACCTGAGCCCAAGTCTGGCAAAACACGAGGTGCTCAGGACTCCTTCGCCACCAAGAATGATGTCAGAGGAAGGAGAGCAGCCCTGTCCTGCTGCCCGCAAGCCCAGATCCCAAGGTGGGTTAAGGAAGATCTTAGCTGGGCCAAGCAGCCCAGCTAGGAGCCAAAGGCTTGGGTAAGCCAGTGCCCTTTGCTCTCCCGAAGCTTTAAAGTGACTTTAGTGCCTTTACTGTCTTGGAGGTCAGGAGACTCTCACCTGGGCCCCTTCCCTCCACAGTGCCTGACCCCTTGTGCCCTGGTCTGGGGCAAAATCAGCATAGATTCCCGGCAGGTCACAAGGGAGACCTGTTCCTCCATAGTAAGGGGATGATGGATGTAAGAATTACACCCTGAGTATTCTGAGTGGTCCAGCCCACGGTCCAGAGCTGGAAGGTGTTCTGTGACATCAACCTGACAGACACTGAATGTTGGAGGTCACTTAGAAATGCTCATTACACAGATAAAGAAACCAAAGTCCTGAGACATGTGACTTGCCTAAGGTCACACAATAGAGCCTATGCGGACCATAACCCATAAACAAGACCCAAGGGCCCTGTCCTCTACACCATACTGCTTTCTCCCAAGTGACTCAAAGAGCCCCAGCCGCCATTCATAAGCTACAGGAACCCGACCCTGCATCAGGCATGCAACGGAGAAATGACTGCACCACCATCACCCAACCCTTCTGCCTCGCACCCGCAGTGCGGTCTTCAGGATCAACTCCCCATCACCTTTTACTTGAGCCCAGGATGTTTCCCCGTTTCAGTTCCACTGAGTCATCCGTCAGCAGTAGTAGTGGGTTTCTGTAGTCCCAGGCCCAGCTAAAAGTATAAAAACCATACCACTTCAGAAGTGGAGCCCTTGAAGATCACCAAAGAAACCACTGAAGTCCAAGGTGAGTGTGCCATCTAGATTCAGAGTTCGGAGGGAATCACATTTCCGTTTTCTTCCTCGGCAAGTAGGAGCTGGAAATCTGATGCATGATCACCAGGGCTGGAAAGAGGGGCAGTGCCAGGCACAGGTACCAGGCTGCACCTTTGATCTGGGCCTGGAACCACACTGAGTACATGCCCAGGAGCACTGTTACTGTAGCCATCAGGTAGACCACCAGCCCACATGTCAGATGGTAGAGCTTGAGGCGAGCCACCCTTGAGACCCTGGCTGCCTGGGGAAAGAGGAGGCAGAGCCCACACAGTGCCTGGCCCCCAGTGGCCAGCAGTGTCAGAGCCCCTATCCAGCTGTGCCAGGACACCAGGTGGGACAGCTCACTGCGGGTCCTGCTGGCGACGATGAAGCCCAGGCCCAGGGCTGCACAGAGGATGGCTAGGGTCTGCCCCACCCAGTGGAGTCTGATCCGGGCCTTTCGGGAGCAGAAGAAGAACAGGGAGTGCTCAGGTGAGAAGAGCAGGATGGCCTCGGCCATGCAGACGGAGAACTGTGAACAAGGAGAGGGCCAGTGAGCCTGAAGCCCAGCTTGGAGGCCTAAGAAAAAGGAGGTGCTCTCATATATCTAAAAAGGGGGACAAAGGGAGGGGGCTAAAGAACTCCCACCAGGACCACCTGCGTGCAGGTCTCTGTCATTCAGGCTGACATCCAAGTCCACACCCCTCCCCGCCCCCCCAGACAGTCACTCCCATTTCCTGGCCAATGGAAACAGCAAATGTTAAAAACTTCCTCCTGAACTTTGGGGAGAAGAGTGACTGGGTATTACCCCCTTCACTTCCTCCTTTCAGGCCCTTGCAGAGAAATACCTTCCACCCCCTCCCACCCCCATTAGCTACCTGACACAGCACAGCCCTGTGTTTCCCAACCTCAAAGGTTGCAAGGAAAGTTGGAGCCCTGCCTGTTTCCCCATCTCTATGAGCCTTAGCAAGGCTGAGCCTTCTGCAGGCTGGATGTTTCCCTAGGGACATAGCCAAACAAATCAGCCGCATAAAGAAGCCCAAACTCACCGCCAAGGCCATGAATACAGGGTGCCAGGAGAAAAGACCTAAGAATCAAAGAGAACACACTGACGGCTGGGCACCATTGTTTCTGCCCCTGAGGCTGGCTGGAGCCCGAAGAATCTGGCCACAGGGGACAGGTCAGGGTACTATCCCCAACCCTAATCGGAAACCAGGATCTCAGGGCAAAGTGGAGCAACCATGAGGCCAAACCCACACCAGTTCAGCCTGGGTTCCCCACTGGGCACCTCGCAGCTGTCAGCCGGTGCCCCTAGACCGGACCTCAGCCTCCCTCCCCGTAGCCTCCGTGAGGGGCCCTGTTAATGAGGAACTCGTGAGTTCGGCTCGGTCGTCGGCCTCTCCTCCCCTGCACCCAGAGCCCTGCCCCAGCCCGTCCCTGCTCTGCACGGGTCCCC